GCTGGCCTCACCGAGGCTCCTCCATGGAGCCCTGGTCCCCAGAGCTGCCACCATTTTGCAGTTTCATCTCTCAAGCCCCGAGAACCATTTAGCACTTCCCAAACCAGCAGTAACTCCCCAGCCCAGCATCCTGGGGTTGCATTTGCAGCCCTGAGCTCTGCATGGAGCACGGCATGGCTCTCCCACCCCACGTGGCAGATATGGTGCCAGCCCCAGCTCCCAGTGCCACCGCCGCGCCGCTGGCACCCCCTTCCCCTTTCGCCACCCCCCAGTCCCCTTCTTCACCAGAAACAACTCCCAGGTCTCAGCTCCTCCTTCCTCCCCAACATCTCCTCGCTTTTACACAGATCTCCTGATCGCTGGTCCCCAGGCTTCCTTCTCCTAAAGCCTCCAGGCTTCTCACAACCTTCTCCACCCCCTCAGCCCTTCTCAAGGAGCCTTGGTGGCTTTTAGAGCTGGACTCAGCTCAGCTGGGGATGGATCAGCCGGAGCAGAGGCTGGGTGATGCCTCTGACACAAGTGGGTTTACTGATTACAGGGCCAGGCGGGGAGGCTGTAACCAAAGCAACTTCATTTTTTTTTTCCAATTTTGGTGCAAGTTCTTTATCTGTTCTAGACATAACATCGTTCTGTTTATGAGCCCACCCTCCAAATCGTTCTTCTCTGCTTTTACGTCTCTAGGTGCACATCTTCACTTGTTTAAATGAGAAGCAACAGTTTGCAAGTTGAAGTTCCTCCCAATGTTTTATTTTTAAAGTGGGTTTCAAGGGGGAGATAAGAAGGGTGCTAGTCGTTGCATAACTTTAAGTACGTTTTATCTGGTATAAATCTCATTTTCTTTTCCTGTACAGTGCTGAGATATCCTGTGCTACCCAGAGAACCACCAACTCGGCGTCGCTCTGGTGTCTCTGGATCCAGCACTGCTCCGAGCTTCCCACTTCATTTCCTTTTTCGCCTCCTGTTATAACTCAGTAGATGCAAAAATGTCATCCTCTGAGCTGCTGTTTGCTTCTTTCACAATGTTCCACGCTGCCTCTCATGAGTTTCTTTTCCTTGTTGGTTTCAGTTAACACCATTTTCTCTTTATTGCTGTTCTGACTGCATATGATACCATATAGAGAGGGCACTACAAAGTCTCTCTCTATATCACATATCTTTCTATATGTGCATTTTTAAAAATAAGTATATTTTTCTCTACACTCTCATTTTTGCTTGGTGCTAGCTCTGTGTAGTCCAGCTATGCTCTGCTTCTAAAACAACCCTATCATCAGGCTTATGTGTGCCTATAGCTACTGGCAGTATTAATTCTGAACATTTTTTACCTAAACTTTGGCTTCATTACTTACACTATTAAAATGCTCAAAATTAGGCCATCACTTTAAAAATCTGAATAATGTTTCAGCCTAAATAACAAAGCTTTGCCTTTGTTATTTGCTACAGAGAAAAAAAAAAACACTTCTGGGAGAAAAGTCCATAGATTGAGCAAGATAAATCTGTTTTCTCCTGAACACTAGGAAGTTTGAGAATACAGTATATGAAGTATATATGTGTTACCAATTTGACAGCCTCATCAGCTTCACAGGAAGCCACTGCCAAAATTTCTGTGGTAGGCTTGAAGGTCACACACGTAGTGGATGTAACTAGGTTCATTATGCCTTTAACTGGATTAGGATGGTTTTCTTTGAGACAGACGTCAGTGATATATAAATTTGCTTATCAGGTTTTAATTTTTGATTATTGGGGTTTTTTGCACGCTTTTGCAATATGCTTCTTTCCCTGCTCCTCAGATCCTTCTTTATAGTATTGGGAAGTTATTCTTGTGAAGGGAAAAGGCTTTCCTCCTGGGTGTCACCTGAATGTCGGAATCTGAACCAGGTAAAGCTGGATTTGACACAAATCCAGCCAGTGAAACGGTCCGTCGTCAGGACCATCATCATTAAAATTGTGCTTACTAAAGGAGGTTTTTTCCTTCCAAAGGCTCCTTGTTCAAGGAAACTGTAAGTCCTGTGGCCCGCCTGACACTGCAGGTCAGACCAGATGATCAGAATAGTTTACTCTGGCATTCATACTTAAAAATTTACAAATATCCAGGCAAACTGTGACCATACCTGGTAGAGAGATGGTCAGACAAGATAAGGGAGTCGCTTCTTCTGAGCTTAAATACTCTGAATTTTCACCTGCAGTCCTGCTGAGACACCCCCTTCTCCCACATAAACTGCGACCGTACCGGTAGAGAGATGGTCAGACAAGATAAAGGAGTCACTGCTTAATGCTTAAATGCTCCGAATTTTCACCCACAGTCCTGCTGAGACACCCCCTTCTCCCACAGCAATTAGTAACACAGCTTTTACTTATTTTCCTTTTTATCCAAGCTCTGCTGTAACTTTCAGAATTTTGTTAGAAAACTGGCCTAAAAACACCTTAAACCTCTTCACCTCTGTCTTCCTGGTGAGGGAGAGACAGTGTTTTGCCACGATAATTGTTGCGTTAGTGTCTCTCCGGTTTCTGACTCATGTAAATCAGGAGATGACTCACTCGGAGGGGTTTGTTCGGGGCTCTGAAGAAGATGAGATGCTGCCAAGCTGGAGGCAGCTCTCAGACTTTGCTCCTTAAGGTGCTCATCAGCAGACTTCAGCTTCTCCTGAAGTCCCCGTGCTGGGGCCACGGGGCTTAACAGCCAGGATGGCTCTGTCCCCTCCTGCCACCACCCTGTCTCCTGGTAGCCCATGGGCTGGGTGGCCAGAGGAAAGAGGATTTTCATGTCGTGGTCCATTGGATGGATCACAACAGGGGAAAATAAGGGCATTGAACAAATCATGAAAGTTTCAAGGCACCATGAGAAGCTGGAGAAGAGCAGATTTAGATTGGATATTAGGAACAAGTTCTTTGCTATGAGGGTGGTGGAACACTAGAACAAGTTGCCCAGGGAGGTGGTTGAGGCCCCTTCCCTGGAGATATTCAAGGTGAGTCTCAACGAGGCCCTGGGCAACCTGGTCTAGTTGGGGGTGTCCCTGCTGACTGCGGGGAGGTCGGACTAGATGACCTTTGAGGTCCCTTCCAGCCTGGACCATTCTATGATTCTATGAGCTGGAGAACCCCACAGGCTCTGCAGGGGATGCAGAAGGAGCAGGAGCTGAATGCAGGGGTCTGAGGTGAGCAGCAAGTCCCCCCAGAGAAGGACCAGACACCCTGTGGCATCACACACCAAAGGTGTGCAGACACATGGGAGGGAAACACAGGCTGGAGCGGGTGGCACCCCCCCAGGAGAAGGCACACAAAGAAGTATGCCTTCATTTTTCCTTCAGAAAATCTATCAGGAAGCATAAAGCTAGTCCCCAAAAAGTGACTTTACTCTTTGACGAGCACACAGGCAACAAGAAGTGCTGTGAGCTGCCTTTCCAGAGTTTAAACCAAACACGAGGCTGCCATCAGTCCCAGTTCCCCACTGCTCTGCTCCCAGTTTGCTCTAGCCCCCCACTAAAACCCATAGCATAATTCTCTATTCCTCTTTTTTTTTTTCCTTTTTCCCAGACTCCCAGTCATTTTGCACGGTCTGAGTAAAACACGTAAAACCAGGCTTTGCCATAGGATGAAAACCGAAAAAAGGAAGAACAAGTGGAAAAAAAAACCCCAACCCCACAAACAATTAAAGCGACACAAACCCTTGCACACAAAACCCCAGACCCCAAAAGAGCAGCGCTGGGAGGGTATGTTCTCACCTTCCTTTAATTCCATCCGTAAATCTGGGAAGACCAGGGGATTACAAATCACAGCGTGCTCAGCAGTCAGAGATACAACACAGGGACGGGCAGCCTTCACCTGGAAGGCTTTTGGGAGGAAATAACTGGACACGAGTGTTTATCTGGGGTTGGGATTCGCCTGCTGAGCAGCAGGCTATTTACCTACGTGCGCCGCAACGCCTGTTCCCCTGATTAATCCACCAGGTCCTCTTTGCAACACAGGGAAACACTAAAGTACTGAAAATGTCTGCATTTCATCCAGGTTTTTGCACTCTTGGCCATGGGTGTCCCGTCACAGATTTCTGAAAATCATGGGCAAATACATAAAGAACGCTAACGAGCGGAGCAGGCGGTGGCACGCAGCCCTAGAGGTGTCACTCATTGCTAAACCTGTAAATGAAAGTGGCTGTGAAGTGCCAAATTACCCTGGTTTTACCCTCTGTCACACTTACTGAGGGAACGTAATCCTAAACCAGAACCGGTTCTTCAGCAATCTAATTAGAAGTATCACATCCAGCAGCCCATACTGCACACCCAGAGACGGGCAGCTCGGGGTTTACTTTCTTTATTTTTTAACTTTCTTTGGTTTTTTTTAACTTTCTTTGGTTTGTTTTTTTTTTTTTTAGCTTTCTGCCAGCCCCTAACGGGTGCCCAGTTATCTCAGATCAGCTGGAGGAAGGTCATGGTTGGGAGTTTCCTGGCTCTCCCGCCTGTCGATGAGTGACAGGGGTGTGAGATGTTTGGTCGGCATCTGCTCCATAGCTCCAGCCCACACTTCCAGCTGAGGACTCCAAAGGTTTCCGTGCTCATACAAGAAGGGTTGGCCACTTATTTGGGGTCAGGGCATCACCCCTGGCATCTCTCCCGGCAGATCCGTCTGCAAACGGCCGGTGTTTCCTTGGAATTTGCACTGAAAAGCCGCTTCGGAAGACACCTGTTTCCAAATCTTTGGGTTCTCCCGGTAACCAAACATCCCTGGGCCAGTTTGGGCAGTGAAGGTTGCTGCTGGGTGTGATTCAGAGCTGTATTTAGTATTGACTTAAGTAACTGAGGGCTTGCCATGAGCAAACTGCCCATCCCGGAGCCAAACAACCTTATCTCTCCTGGCAGCACCATTCCTCCTGCCTTTAAAGCAAAACCACGCTCTGGAGTCAGGAATGGAGTTGAGCTGATGGACAATTTCCCATCGCTTTTTTCCCCACTGTTAGTGGAATTCCCAAAATCAAACCCTGTGCCAAAACCCCAGCAAACTCCACTTACCTGGGTCTGAACCAAATTCACTGGGAAGTCCCCAGAATTGAGGTGACAACGCCGTGCCGGAGCATTAAATCCATGGGGTGGGATGAAATCCTCCCCCACCGCACCGTGGACGCAGCTATTCCCAGAGCCCTTCTGGAGCCCCAGGAGAAGACCCCAGCTCCTCTGCTCCAGTAGGAAGCCAGCCCACAAGATGGGTGAAGCTGGGAGATAAGGGGGTGAAGATACACCAGCAGCAGCGCGGGATCGGCCGCTGCTGCTCCGGCTCCGGGGCGCTTCCTCCTTCCGACGTCACTTTGGTGTCACCACACTGAAAGACCAAAAAGCAAGCAGCTCGTGGCCTCTTTTTTTTTTTCCTTTTTTTTTTTTTTTCCCCTTAAAAAAAAAAAACCAAAACAAAACTAACTCGTTCAATTTGTATCGTTTTAAAGCTAGGAAGGAGTGACTTTTTATCTCAGAGCAGTGGGGGGGAAAAAAATTGTATAATGTTCCTGCATCTAATCCTACTGAATGGAAAGGAAAAATCCCCTGCAGTTTTCAGAAAAGTGGGAAAAACTAAGACTCTGGCCAGCTGCTCTCATCACCATTTTTAACACATCTGTGCTGCAAAGGTGGACAGAGGTAAGGAAGTGATGGTAGAGGAAATGGTGCTTCAATATGGCAAGTTCTGGCTCAAAACCCCCCCAGCCCTCGACACGGCTACCACTTGACTATTCCAAATTTGCTAAAATACCTTGAGAGGGTAGCTCTGCTTTTCTTCTGCTGCCCATCCCATCTGGTCCCAGGGGAGCTGAGCACGTAGAGCATCCCGGTCCCCCCGGGGGACGCAGCTGGTCCAGGGAGGATTTCGGAGAATAAAGTGGGGAGGGAGCACAGTCCTGCCCCAGGGATGTCGAGCAAGATGGCTTGTGGCATCTTTAGGTGGCCACATATTGATCTTCTGGCAAACAGCCACTGTTTGCGTGGCCCCTCGGGTGCATCTCACCCAGCTACATCACTCAGGCTGCTTACAGCTGCCTGGCTATAGATATATATACATAAATTTTATATAAATATAAATACTGAGCATGGCATACGACGCTGACTGAAATGACAGCCTTTTGGGGAAGAGGGAGAAAAGGTTGGTGCCATGTTAGTGGCGGAGCTTCAGCGACTAAAACTTGCTTCACCCAGACTGGAGCATAATGAGGCTTCCCCGGCAGTGGCAATTAGCAACCAGCATTATCTGATTGCCCTCTGCAGCAATTGCACTTTGGTATTTCCCTCCTGTGAGTGACAGAGAAATGTCGTAAGTGGAGGGGGGTGTGATACCTTCCACAGATTTACCCTCCACAAGTGGGGATATTTCTTACAAACTCTCCAGAAGTGCTTGGTCCAGGGTTTTTGGAAGGTTGTCTCATCTTCACTCTGAATCACTTTCCCCCCCCGCGTCTTCTAGTTCCTGACACAGTGGCTTTTGTCAGGCCGGTGGTTCAGGCTGAACCTGCAGAGCGAAGCTTCTGTAGTGGCTCCTGAAGCTTCATGTAGTGGCTGAAAAAGAATCCTGAGATTGATAGACTCATAGAATTGTCCAGGTTGGAAGGGACCTTTAAGATCATCTACTCCAACCATCAACCTAACTCTGATAAAAAACCATCACTAAACCATGTCCCCCACCACCATGTCAACCTGTTTTTTGAACACCCCCAGGGATGGTGCCTCAACCACTTCCCAGGGCAGCCCATTCCAAGGCTTAATAACCCTTTCAGTGTCAAAATTTTTCCTAATATCCAATCTGAACCTCCCCTGGTGCAACTTCAGGTCATTTCCTCTTGTCCCATCACCTGTGACTTGGGAGAAGAGACCGACCCCCACCTCTCTACACCCTCCTTTCAGGCAGTTGTAGAGAGTGAGGTCTCCCCTCAGCCTCTTTTTCTCCAGGCTGAACACCCCCAGCTCCCTCAGCTGCTCCTCATCAGACTTATTCTCCAGACCCCTCACCAGCTCTGTTACCCTTTTCATGTTTGCATCCCAAAGTCCTACTTCTTTTCTGAAGCTCTGGAGATACCACGCTGCTCGTTACTTGCTGGAAACCAAGCCTAACCTTCTTGCACTGTGAAAACCACCCTCAGACCTCTCAAGCTGCCCATGACGTGCTCTGCTATCTGATTTTTGGGGGTTCCTCGTGACACAGTCCAGAGAACTCAGCTTGCAAAGCAGATTTTAGAAGGATGTCATAAAAGGAACAACTTAGACTTCTGATTGCAAAAAGCAGAGATGGGGAGATTACAGCTCCCTCGCAAACGGGTTCATTGAGGGTGGTACCACTGGTAATGACTTCACTGGCTGAGACAGCACTCACTCAGCCCTGGTCTGGGCAAGGACTGGCTTTAATTAGGATCGCTATGGCTCATTAAGTGACCAAGTACAGCGCTGAGTCACATCACATGAAAGAGCCCAGACACCGCTTAGGGCCATGGAGTTAAGTCCTTCCTCTTGAAATCTCCCTGGAGACTGTTCCCCTGGGAGGAGGAAGCCAGTGGAGCATTTGGCATCGCAGCGGGCACCACAAACATGTCTGGCCAGAGGCTAAAGAGGAGGATTTCGTGGGCTCCTAAAAACAGACACGCTGAGATATTACTTTAGTGAAGACATGTGGCTGGGGAGGGCATTTCTTCCATTCTCATGCAGTCCCTGAAACACTTTTTAACACTGGCCAGCCCTTTCGACAGCACATTTTTGCTTGGGATTTGGCAGTTTTGTGTAAATGGAAGCAGTGCCTTCACCCTGAGACCTTCTGGTGCTCTCCTCCTGGTTTGCACAGAGCTTTGTGAGGCTGTGCCCAGATGGATGCAGAAAGGACCTCTGCACGGTCCCCTCCCTCTGTCACCGCTGTTTTGGGAGGAGGAAGCCTTTCGAAAGATGCAGCAGAGCCAATGAGCCTGGGTTCCTGGTTTGGGGGAAGATAAGATGTCTTCTGGGAATTGTAGTTCCCGGGAAACACGAGTTTGCAGCCTTCCTCCAACGGCGAGCCAGGAAAGCCAGCAGCCTGAGAGCCTTTCCATTGCTCCAGTGTGAGGGAAAAGGGGCTGGAATTAAGAGAGGGAAATTGTTATGGGCAGCTCTGCCTGGAAATGAGCAGACTGCAGTAGGAAAAACTCCAACACGCTTCGGAGAATTAGGCACCAAGGAAGAAACTCCTTCTGCCTTGACCTTCCGAGGAGGGTCGGAAAGGGCTGGTGTTTCCTGGACTCTGCAGCCAAAGGAAAATTAGCCTTGGGGTTCAGGAGGAGGTGGAAGGTCTGCTCCGGGAGAGAGCGTTGGCTGGCCAGAGACCCAGGCATGGCTAAGCCCTCGTGGCTTGAGGGGGATGGAAATATCCCGGCAGAGACAAAGAAAGTCGCTTTGCAAAACAGAAATGAAGAGTTTGGACCCCGACCTCCAACCCACCTGGTGGAGATGAGCTCCTCTGCCCAGGGAGCAGGCTTGGGGGCAACGCGTGCTGCCGAGCTGCTGAACAGAAACGGCAGGCACTGCTGGAGGAAGGACCTGTGGGCAAGAAGGAAGAGCTGCTGGCAGAAGGTGCACGGCAGTTGTTTGTGGTTTACACGAGTTACCGCAGCGTTCGCGGGCTGAGAGAGGTGGAGGAAGTGTTTCTAAGGACGGCTGTGAGGACTGAGCACAGCACAGGGCTCGGGGAGAGGATAAATCAAAGAGCAGACGCTACGTTTGCCCAAAGCTTCAAGTACTATTTTTGCGGAAGTGGTTTATGTTCTTGTTCTGGAAAAGACTATTATGTCCTTGTTTGCAAGAAGAAGTGCTGTCCTCTGGCTACGCAACATTCAGTACAGCATGTTCTGTGGAAAGTCTGCATAGAATCATAGAATGGTTAGAGTTAGCCCTTAAAGATCATCCAGTTCCCCCCCCCTGCCCTGGGCAGGGACCCCTCCCCCCAGACCAGGTTGCTCCAAGCCCCATCCAGCCTGGCCTTGAACCCCTCCAGGGATGGGGCAGCCACAGCTTCTCTGGGCAACCTGGGCCAGGGTCTTACCACCCTCACAGTCAAGAATTTCTTCCCAATATCTAACCTAAATCTCCCCTCTTTCAATTTAAAACCATTACCCCTTGTCCTGTCACTGCACTCCCTGACAAAGAGTCCCTCCCCAGCTCTCCTGTAGCCCCTTCAGATATTGGAAGGCTGCTATGAAGTCTCCCCAGAGCCTTCTCTTCTCCAGGCTGAACAACCCCAGCTCTCTCAGCCTGTCCTCGTAGCAGAGGTGCTCCAGCCCTCTCGTCATCTGCATGGCCCTCCACTGGACCCATTCCAACAGGTCCATGTCCTTTCTTTGTTGAGGGCCTAAGACTCCTGGAGTCCATGGGAGAAAAAATACGTTTGGTTACCCTGCTCAAACCCCCTGCACAGCCACCAGCCCTGAAAACCAGACCCTCTGGTCCATGCCTGGTCTTGGCCCTGGGCTGTACAGGTCCCAGTAGGACCAGGCTCTTGCTGGAAAGCCATATTTATGTGCAAGCAGGTCAGCTGTGGAGGTCTCGGTGTCATTGCTGACCTTGGTTCACCTGTGGCTGCTGCAGTGTGTCCTCAGCAGCTTCTCTGCTCCTGGTTAGAGGGCTCTCCATACCCAGAACTGCTGAAGAAGCTGCCATTACTTACCCCGCTCTCCTGGCTTGGGGTAGAGCATCAATGGGAGCACTGCACTTACAAACTGAACACTAAATATTGGAAATAATAACCGGTGAAGACATTTATGAGCCAAGTGGGGCCCTGGGACAATAAAGGGTGGTTGATGGTAGCTCATTTGTTACCATCTGCACATATTGGCAGTAAAGCTGACGCCAGCACTCAGAACCACAGCCTCACAAAGACCTCTTAGACAGTATTTTCCACTTTTACAAATTTAATTAGCTCCTTTCCCCTCAAGCAGCACAATACAAAAATATTTTTCCAGGTAATGTAGCCATTTTCTAGTCAAAGAAGCGGAGAGTACGTTAAAACAAAAAAACATGCCTCAATTAAAACTGTTATTCTCATTTTCTACGTGGACATTTTGGCAATTGCCGCTTCTCTGAAAAGAACAATCTTTTTTGTTTAGCACCGTAATTCATGGGCTTCTAAACCAGAAGACTGACGGGTGAATTCTGGAAAGATGGGGTTTAATCTGAATCCCCACGTCTTTCTCTGGGGGAAGTTGAGATGGTAACAGCCATATTTTCCTTTTCAAAAATAAGGATCTCTGATCCTCCTCGGCCACAGCTGGCAGGTTTGCAGGGCTCTCGTGTTTTGGGGAGGGGGACATTCTGCATTAGAGGAGAGACCTGAACAGAACTGTGAGAAAAGGATCAGGAGGAGGAAGAAAAATACAACAAATCGCGTATAGTACCTCTGGATCAAAAAATCCCTTTTCTTTATCCCAAAATCAGAGGAACACCGGCTACTGTTGGCACGTGTTGATTTCCACACGAAGGTAATCTGTGTGCTGTTAATTGCAGCCCAGCGCCTGGTTTCCGGAACAACCTGCTAATGGAGTTATTTTTTTTGTTAATTGTACTGTCCAAATAGAAACGTATGGACCTGATTTTCTGCTGTTAGGAAGCAGAAATTTAATCCTACCTACAATACAGGTGCCAGGATTGAGCAAAGGCTCAGCTATCGTACCAGCAGCTCAGCCTGTCTTTTCCAGAAAGAAAATGTTTCACATATCCCGTGACACTATCCCACCATGTAGTTATTCTGGGGTCTTGAATTTCCCAACACTGCAAAGTCTGCCCCCAGTTTGTGGTAAATAAAATGATGTTAACCAACCAATAATTTAGTGCATCATCTCAGTGGTAGCATTAATACCCTCCCCGTTCAGTGGTGTCATGTTTTATGTGCAAAACACATCTGAGGCTCAATAAGCCTTATTAGCCTCGTTTCTGATCCTTACTAAATCCTTGCCAGGATTTGGGAAAACCAGCGTTTGTAAAGAGGGTACCTCCTGCACTGATGGTGGAAAGAGATGGATGAAGAAACACCCCAGAATCCACAGGCTTGAACCAGCTCCTGTCCAAAACAGCTCTTCACTTCCATGTCCAGAAGGTGCTGAGCAAGAGTTGTCGTCGACACTGGAGATGCTCAACAGAGATGTTCCTCATATGACCTGGTAGCTCTGGGTGGCTCTACTGCAAGGGGTCTAGGGTGCAAGAAGACAGATAACAGCCATTAAGGTTGACCTCCTGGGCACACAGCTTACCTCTTTGTCCTACAAGCTGGACTGAAGCTTGTCTTTCACAGGAACACCTCATCTGGGTTTGAAGACTCCAAGTCATCCTGGTTCCACCATCCTTGCTCAGAAACCACTCTCCCTAATTACCCTGTCAGCTGGGATAATTCAGCTTTCAAAGCTGAATATTTTTATTTTGGCCTCTACCTGTGGGATCTTGTTAAAACAGAAATGCACTTCTGCCATCAGGTATCTTTTTCATACCTAGGAACCTGAAAACCCTGCTTATTCCCACTGTCCCCTCAGCAGGCTGCATTTGGGAATGAACAGTTCCTCTCCTGCACGCACAGTTCATTGCAGGTGATTCAAGGGGGGGTTGTTTAAACTGAAAGCATGGAAGCGCCCTGTTGGACTATGGGATGCAGGGTGAGGACTGAGCAGTGGGACACCCACCAGCAGCTCGCCCCATCACCTCCATCCCTGGGACACCTCAGGTTTGCCCTCCAGTGGCACGGGGACAGCCAGCAGGCAGGCACATTTTGCCTTATATAATAGAAGAATCATAGAATGGTTTCGTTTGGAATGGATCTTAAAGACCATCTGGTTCCAACCCCCTGCCCTGCCTGGAGGTGTTCAAGAGACATGTTGATGTAGTGCTGGGAGATAGGGTTTAGTGATGGTGTTGCTTTTTGTTTGTTGTGTGGGTGTCTATTTTTGTCAAAGTTAGATTGACAGTTGGACAAGATGATCTTTAAGGTCCCTTCCAACCTAGAAGATTCTGTGAAACGTGTTCCAGTGTCTCACCACCCTTACAGGAAAGAATTTCTTCCCAATATCTAATCTAAATCTCCCCTCTTTCAGTTTAAAACCATTACCCTTCATCCTGTGGATTCACTCCCTGATCAAGAGTCCCTCCCTATCTCTCCCGTAGCCCCTTCAGGGACTGGAAGGCGGCAATAAGAAGTGCCAAAAGGCTCTGGCTCTGTCTTTCTTTGATAAAAAGGCAGCCAGAGAGTTGCCCTCTCCCACGAGCCCCGGCACTCAGCCTATGAGATAATATAGGCCGGCCTTTTCTTTGCAGCTGTATTGTTTTAGTGCTTGGAAAATAGCGGCAGGCTGAGCAATGAGTCATCTGTCACTAGATGGGGTTAAAGTAATTTCCGTTTTCTGTTGCCATGGGGAAATCAACGTCCTAAGATTTGTCCTTTCTCCCACTCAAACATGTGGGAGTAGAAAGTCTGAAACCCAGCAGGGCTAAACAGTTTTTGGTTGTGTTTTTTTTTTTTTTTTTTAATTTTTTATATATTTATCTCCCCTCCCCTTATAAACAAACTTCCCTCCTGGCCTTGCAGCTGTCAGTCTGTTCCCGGAATCATCCGGTTAACAATGTCATTCCCCTTGGATTGCAAAAAAAATCCAGAAGCAGAGTTTAAGTAAATATTTGACATTAATATAGGAGTTGCTTCATGTTATCACTCAAAGAGTCTGTGGTGCGTGTAAAGTTTTATGTGTGCGTTCAAGGGGGTTATACAAATAAAAGTCAAACTTCAAAAAAAAAAAAAGTAAATTGAAGTAGCAGCTCGCCCAGCATTCACAATGCAGCGAATAATAGAAACAGGAAAGAGGAAATTGCAGTAAATACCGTTTAAAAGCCTGGGTAATGTATAGCTGATATGAGCAGCAGCATAGCAACATCTAGTGTCGGTCAGGGATATAGCTGAAATCATCCTCATACTTCACTAACGGCACTGGGATGAAACCTGCTGGCAGGGGACTGGCTTTTCCCGGACCCCCACACCATCTCCCCCCCACAGCCCTGGCTCCTTCTCCTCTGAGAAGGACATAACGTGTCATTTTTTCACGCCCTGTGTCACCACCTTCATTAGCTTTGCAGAAGTGCAATCATCGGGTAACGCTCCTGGTCTGCCTGGATCCTTAGGAAAATGATCGTATATTTAAGAGCCAACCCAATAGTTCTGCAGGTTTAAATGGGAGTCAGCGGCCCAAACTTTTAGCATCTGCACTGATATTAGGAAAGCAATTTCTACCCGAGAGCCGATGAGGTTACCAGCTGTATCATAAAACCAGCTAAACGTTGCTGTCAAATGGGCAGAGTGCTCAGAATTACTCTTTTCCCTACAAATATGCATCTGAGTGTAAAGAGAGAAGGCTGTTTTCACTCTCCTGACCAACCCTGGGGCTGCAGGGATTGCTGCCTTATGCACAGCTTAAGATCCTCTATAGAAAAATTGATTGAGGTGCATTTTGAACCCATCCCCATACCCCATCTTTTCATTTAAAAGACACCTGATGCTCAGAGTTCCTCGCTGCTTAGCTCCTTTGTACGTACACACTCTGAACTAACATTAGTTCAGTTTTGATAAGTTAAGTTTAACTCAACATTTGGATTTTTTTAGTTTAGGTTGAATTATTTTTAACGGCTTCGTTAAACTCACGCAGTGTCTTTCCTACAAGCAAGCCCTTATATCAGGGCTCACACTGAGGACTATTTAAATAAAATAATTTGTCTCCCTAGATTACAGCTCCTATTACATGGGGTTTGCTTCATCTTCAGTAAAATAACATCCTCTGGGTTTTCTCAAACAAAACAAAATTCATGAATGGCTGCTTTCCAAATCCAGCTCTGTCTTGCAACACCCTGTGAACAGATTTTTTTTTTTCTTTTTGCCACGTTTAAGTTTATTACATGATCTAATTAGCATGACTGTGTAGGTGCGTGGAATGCACTGGGGGAGAGGAAAAACACACAAGTGTACAAAATGCTGTTATACAATTTGCTATGGGGACAGAGACCCAAATCATTCTCCAGATGCTTTTCAACAGAGATTTTTGGGAGCGAGGAGTTGGGCAAGGGAAAAGAAAGGGCATCCAAGTCCACAGCAGAGGAAGAGATAGGAGCAGGAAAGATTGAATGCCACCTGATTTTTGCGACTTAAAAAATAAAATTACAATGTAAAGAAGGCATTAATTCTATACTCACGTTTGTTGCTTTTGTCTCCAGATAAAACAACTGAGTAAAATTCAATGCCTGACTCAGAGCAAGGACTGCAAACTTGTCAGCTACCCTGCGAGGCTCGCTCTTCATCCGAAAACGAAACACAGCTTCTAATTAATAGCAAGAAAATACAGATCGTTAACCATTCCGGCCATGAGAAAGGCATTAGGGTGTCTATTGGAAACACGCAGCCAGACCAGAGACCAGAGCTCTGCTTCGTGTTACTGAGCCATTCACACTGCCCAAACCAAACCAAACGGGAAACTGAGTACCCTAAAGCTTTTTGGGCTCTCTTCCTTCCCTCCGCACGCCTGAAACGACATTTTTAAAGTTTCGTGTGACCTTACAGAGCCTTTAAAAGGGGTCAGGCACTCGGCGCATCTGGCGTGCCGATCTCCTCGCTCAGGAACATGAAGTCATCCTCCAGTTTGCCTTTCCCGAGTCAAGAATGTGTAACTTTCCACGTGTCACTTTACGGGCTCACACACTGCACGGAGATTAATATTAATTTCATAGAAGACCGGGCACATGTAAGAAAACTGCCAGCCCCGCTAATTGTGTTTTAATTAAAGAAGAAGTGGAATAGAGTTTGATGTTATTTGAATAAACACACTCCGCACAGCCTGCTGTGCTATGCCATAAATCAGCTCAGTCCCAAATCCCACCCAAGGGGGTGAGTTGGGTGTTAGAGGATCATCTGGTACTCTCCAGAGCTGGTGCTCTTTGGAGCTGGTGCTCTCCAGCCACTCAGCCCCCAGGCTGTACTGGTGCAGGGGGTTATTTCTGCACCTGGGGAGATGGTGACCTGCTGGAGAGCACCTCCAAGGAGAAAGACCTAGGAGTCCTGGTGGACAACAGGATGCCCATGGGCCAGCAATGGGCCCTTGTGGCCAAGAAGGCCAATGCCATCCTGGGGGGCATCAGGACGGGTGGGAGCAGCAGGTGGAGGGAGGTCATCCTGCCCCTCTGCTCTGCCCTGGGGAGGCCCCAGCTGGAGCACTGGGTCCAGTTCTGGGCTCCCCAGTTCCAGAAGGACAGGGAGCTGCTGGAGAGGGGACAGCAGAGGGCTACAAAGATGATGAGGGGCCTGGAGCATCTCTCTGATGAGGAGAGGCTGAGGGACTTGGGTCTTGTTAGTCTGGAGAAGAGAAGGCTGAGGGGGAATCTGATCAATGCTTATAAATATTTAAGGGGGGGGGGGCATATCAAGAGGAAGGGGCCAGTCTTTTTTAGTGGTGCCCAGGGACAGGACAAGAGGAAATGGGCACAAACTTGAACATAAGAAGTTCCACCTAAACATGAGAAGGAACTTCTTTCCTGTGAGGGTGGCAGAGTCCTGGGACAGGCTGCTCAGAGAGGTGGTGGAGTCTCCTTCTCTGGAGACATTCCAAACCCTCCTGGACACGTTCCTGTGCAACCTGCTCCGGGTGGACCTGCTTTGGCAGGGGGGTTGGACTAGATGATTTCCAGAGGTCCCTTCCAACCCCATGTGATTCTGTGATCAAAGGCATGAATTCAGCAGTAAAATCACCACTTGTTAAAAGTGCCACTCTGCACCCTGTGGAGGGGACCTTATTATTTCAGTGGCCCCAGGAGCCACCATGGTGGGAGCTGGCTGCCCCAAAGCATGACCATCCCATCTGAGCCTCCTTTAGCAGGAATGGGGATGTGCCCTGGGGCGCCTGGTGGTACCCAAAGCCACCCTGGCTGGTGGCAGCACTCCAGCGGGGAGGCCACAGGTCTGAGACTAGTCTGATGGTTATCAGCAGCGTGCCCCAGGGACTGCACATGATAAAAGTACACACAACACAATTGCTTTGCCTCCTGCAATCAAAATATTTGCAGTGGCAGGAAGGGAGAAAGAGGGTTCCAGTCTGATGAGCAGGGGGAGGCTCCCTGCCCTCATCCCTTTGAAATCAAAGGCCTTTCCCCCATCACGGCCAGGAACAGATCCTAGGAGTGACCTCCAGCCCCCAAAGCGCCTCTCAAAGCTCCCAGTGACCTTCTCTTTCACATTTGTGGCAACCAAAGACACCAACAGCACACCGAGTGACACGCTAGATTTCAGTCACAAGCTGGAGCCTATTCCATCTAAACTTCCCTGGTACAAACACGTTACACCAACGCTAGATGTCCCTGGGGAGAAGGTGGTCCTCCTCTGGAGGACACATCCGTGTCCCACCGAGGGTGCTGGTGTCACGCTGGCTGTGATGGGCAGCGAGGGAAACCACCACCCCAGCTGCTGGCAGCAAGTTTCTGGCTGTCTCTGCACTGAGAAGCAGGCTGTCCTCTTGGGAAGAGGGATGAAGGAGGAATTGAGAAGTCACAGGACGGGCTTTCTGCAGCTGAGAGCGAAGGGCAACAAAAAAACCAACCCAAATGGAAAAAAAAAAAACCAAACCACACCATCCCAACATATTCCTAGGGGTGAAGTGGCCTTATTTACTACACTGTAGTGCCTTCTGTTTCTGTAGGAACATCTGAAGATAAACTGAATAGTGCTTCATGGTGCCAGGTAAACAGCTCTCCCATGCCATGGCTACGGTCTCTAAGGAGCTTCTGTTTATTATGAACCGTCTCTGCCTCAGCTTTAGCTACAAACCCTCCCTGTGAATCTGGCTGGGAGAGGCTCACAATGAAAGTGAAAAGCTTGTATGAAGCTACCAGAAGGAAACTTATTATCTTTGGGATTGTAAGCTTTTTATTTTTGCTTTTTTCCTCTGTTTTTTTTTCTTGTAAGCCCTGGTTTGTTGGATGGGGTGTTTGCCTTGCTGGTCCCGTTTGGAACAGAGCTTTGGTAGGCAGAACAAAAGTCTTATGTTAGCGATGCTACAGACACTTTGAAAAGTCAACTATGTTTGAATGATTTCTCTCCTAGCTCCTGCGAACTCGCTTTAAGCAGAGAAACACTTGGAATTACATGAAACTGAAGCGAGAGGCTCCCTGGAGGCTCCTGACAAGTTTTAAATTTGTAGTAAATATTGGTATATTGATTATTATCACGACCTGCTGATTTTTAATTTCCCTTTACAGACAAAACCCAAACTTTCTCCTTCTGAATCAAATTTGGATTGTTAAAAGGGTATAAATGTAAATTAACATCCCCAGGGTTACCCTGGTGTAATTGAGATCATTGTTTAGCTCTTCTCTTTGATTAAATCAATTTCTTAAGCTTTTGCATTCCCAAAGGGACATTGTAAGTAAAAGCCAATGAGGTTTTTTTGGGGCAAGGTCCTGCAGCTGCTGGAGTGAGGAGGTGCTAGTGGCCCTGTGGCAGCAGGTGAAGCACCGAGGAAGCTCAGTCAAAACAGTGTTTGGAGAAAGGGTGAGTCTTCTCCTCACCCCAATGGTTGGAGGGGAATATCTCCAGGGGACTCCTACCTTTGGTTTTCCACCAGACTTGGTAATATTCCTGTGATTTGGGTGGCTGTGATTTGGCCACAGTAAACCCCGAACCAGTTTGTTCTTTTGTTTTAATCTAAAAGGAGAGACAAGAAGTTTTTTCATGGCACTGTCATTTCTGATGTCCTCCCGCCAAGGATTTGACTATAGTACTTTATGGCTTTTCTAGCATTCCATCAACCTCAGGATGCTTATTTTTCTTCAAGCATAGCTGTTTGCAGCACACTAACAAGAACTGAAGATCTTTTAACACTGCTATTTGTTTACTGACGACATCAAAGCCTTTTTGTGTTTTTTTTTTCCTCCCCACAAGCTTTCTCTGAGTCGGCGCAATCTGCAAACAGCCATGCAAAACCAAGGTGTGCTTTGTGCAGAGCAAAACAAAACCACAGAGCACTGAAGATGCAGATATTTCCTTATCTGGCATTCTAAATTTAGCTCTGCTTCATGTCTCCTTCTCCAGCTTCTCAAGCTGTTTTGTTCCTGCCCGAGAGCCCTGCAGACCTTCCTATTGCCTTCGAGTTGGGTGGAAGAACACAACGTCAAGCACGGTGGTGGTGAAAGCAGATAATCTAAACCCAGTATTTTGTAACATCTATGGACAGATGTATTTCCTCCTGTCGCCATGATGGTCAGGATGCTACACTCTGCTAATAGGAAGCGACACTCTGAATTTTGTTTTGCATTAGATCCTGTCAGCTTTTGGTTCAGACCCAGGCTGTGGGTGCTGGGCGATACGCAGCAGTGGAAGCAACAGATGTTGGCAGCAAACTAAAGAAGATCAGCTGAAAATAACATCCCTAAGAAATACCGGGCCATCCTCTTTATGGATTCCCTAAATGTGTTGGGGTTATTTTAAGGCCAGTGGAACTCCCACTCCTTACAGTATAAACAGGATTATTCCTTGTACAGAACATACGGCAGTGTAAATGTCATCGTTTGTGTATCATTGGTATTTCCAGTCGTGCTTCAAGTATTGCCTCATCCCAAACATGCATCCCACCCTTCAGACCTCTGCCTGCAGAGAGCATTAAGCATTGGCAGTGCATAAAAAGAAGAGTCTCCATGGTGGAAAACCTAAAGTCTCTCCATGGATGAGGAACAATTAGAGCGGTACCAACAGACCGGCTCCCTCAGGAGCTATTGAACTGGTTGGCTGTGGTATGGACAACGGGGAAGACAAGGGCAACAAAGGAGGAGGACAGGGCAAGGACTGACCAAGAAGAGTTTTATTCCACAAGGAAGCAACTCACCCCAAGCTGTGTTGGCTGGAGGTTACGGAGCAGGCAAATGGCCGAGGCTTTCCGGGAATGGGGACACGCAAGGTCAGCGAGGCAGATCTGTGTGGACAAAGTACAGGTAATGAGAAATGCTGACTAGGTCTGTTGGGGAGGGACAGCCTGTTAAGGGCATTTTCTACAACATACTCTTTGATCACCTGGATGTGGGTGTAGTTGGTCACATCAGGGGAAGAGATGCTCTATGACCTGGTGCTTGTGGCAGCTTTGGAGACCTGGGGCACGGCTGGTGGAGGAAACCCACACAGAAGGGGCTGGGTGGCAATAAGATGTGCTCTTCAGCAGCTCTTAACCCTGAAAACACCAGGAGGAGATGCAAGGGGCAAGCAGTACAAACCTTTACCAGGCTTTAAACCAGGCAAAGAGGCTGCAAGTCTGTGGATCACAGCAGTTTTGGGTCACTTTTGGTCACTCCCCTTGACTTTGGGTACTGCTGAACTTGGGTATAGCATCCCATCAGCAAGACAGGGCTGAGGGAGAAAAGGAGCAACTATTTCCAGTTCTCAGGATCCCCAAAGGTTGGGAGCAGGGACACAGCCCCTTGGTGACCCAGCCAGGCTGCTTCTCCAGTCCCAGCACCCAGGTGTCTCCTGCAGAACACTTTCAGAGTCTTGCCTTAAGAAATAAAACAAAATGGCAGAGCCTTAAAAAAAAAGTAGATCACAGCAGTTTTGGGTCACTTTTGGTCACTCCCCTTGACTTTGGTACTGCTGAACTTGGGTATAGCATCCCATCAGGAAGACAGGGCTCAGCCTCCCAGGGCTGAGGGAGAAAAGGAGCAACTGTTTCCAGTTCTCAGGATCCCCAAAGGTTGGGAGCAGGGACACAGCCCCTTGGTGACCCAGCCAGGCTGCTTCTCCAGTCCCAGCACCCAGGTGTCTCCTGCAGAACACTTTCAGAGTCTTGCCTTAAGAAATAAAACAAAATGGCAGAGCCTTAAAAAAAAAGAAAAAAAAGAGAGAGAGAAAAGTTTTAAGCACATCCAACTTTGGGATAGAGCGTAAAATTTCTTGCCAGAGAATTTAAAACAAACTGGAAACTGATCATCTACTCATTTAAACGATGTGCCTGGAGCTAAACCAGCAAGGCTGAATAATCTCTGCGCTGCTTTCATCCTTCTTCAATTTTTTCTTTGTTCCATCAGCCACATGTGCATTAAGTGTAAATTGAAGGGCTCTTAGCTGGAAAAGCAGATTGTGAAAAGGGCCTGGCCCTCATCTTATAATTCAGCTTCAGTATTACAATTATTCTTAATAACACTCTTATTTTGTTGTATTATTTATTCTGGCTAGAACCCCCTAGAATCCCTTGAAGGCTTTTTTTTTTGTCCTGGTGGATTTAGCCAACATCCACTCATGAATCCAGATGTTTCTGCTTTTATCCACGGGAATTTGATGGTATGGATGTGCCAAGATTGTAACTTCAGGCTCAGCCTCAATACAAGTATTTTTCAAATTCCCTAAATCAAAAAATGGAAAGTGCCATGAAAAACCTGGGCCTTACTGGGTGTAGCCTGCCAGAATGGAAACCAAACCGCAGGACAACATTGCTCAAGGCTCTGGATCCGTGTGGATGCAGTCTCCTCCGTCGCACCGGCAGTCACAGCCCAGATCGTGCTATTCGCTGTGTTCTCGGGCACAGGCTCTTGCCCGTAGCACATCCTCAGCTCTTCCTTCTATTCACCAGCCTGAAAGTCAGGAGCAGAGATACATGTGGGTCCAAGATGCTTACACTAGGAAAAAAAAAAAAGATTCCTCACTGCAGGCCAGAGTGTATCGAACAGAATGAAAATGCACCTGCATATGGCAGCTCCCCGTCCTCACCATAGACACTCTACCCAGTCAAAACTAGTTCTGAAATAAGGGCAGTGATGGAATGTACCCTGTTGGGGACCTGGTGAATAACACAAGTGTCTGCTGTGCCTCTGAGAGCCCTCAGGAAGAAGAACCAAACCCAAACTCGTTCCTTGTCCGGAGTGACCAAAGCAGCACGAAGCAGGGATTAAAATAACCTTAATAACCTTCCTTTCTGCACTGCCTGGGGTTCCCTTCGGGCACTTCCCATTCATGGCATCCTGGGTTTCTTCCCTGCTCCCCGTTATTCAGCATGAGAATCCTAATTAAAGTCGCCAGCCTGGTGGATTGGATGGTGTCCCCTGTTGGGGATGGCCATACCCTTCCAAGCGCCCCGAGGTAGCTCAGGAGCATGAGAACTCTAAAGACAGGAGAGGCACAAACAGTTTTTGTTAGCCTTTTGGCAACAAACAGTAAACATCATCCATGGCCAGGCTGTGCACAAAGAGGATGTGATGCTATGCCTGAGCCCGCAAAAGGTGAATTTTAGCTTTTCCTCCAGAACGCTCCCTCTGGCCCTGAACATGTACCAACAGGGCCATGGTCCTGCCTCAGCTGGCACATCTCCTAATCCATCTTTTTTTAAGCCATCTCTGTGCACTGGCCCAGGGAGAAGCACAGAGCAGTTATTCCAGGAGAGGAGAAGAGCCTGTTCCGCTCCCCAAGAGACTCAAGCGCAGCAGCCAGTCATTGCTTGCTCCAACACCATTAGTTCTTTACCTGCAGAGCTGTTGGATCAAAGGAAATTTAAATTATTCCTAAAAGCTCTTCTAAGGCTTCACCCAGCGTGGAAAAAGCCTCTCAGCTGGCACAAAGGATGGAGCTGGCTCCATAGCAAAGCCCTCCGGGGCAGGGATGCGCTGGGACAAGGCAGGGATGGGAGAGGTGGGGAGTGGGCACCAAGGGCTGAGCACACCCAGAACTCAGGGTGACAAGTCCCCGAGTCTTCTACACCGTGTCACCCACGGGAGGCAGCAAGGGAGCAGCAGAGTTAATTAATCTGGACCATGCAGTCAAAGGGGAAAACACTTTTCTCGCTAGTATCATGGATCAAATGTGCTGTGCAGGGCTTTCAGAGGGCACACGTTAAATATCCCACCAGCACGGTACCTCTGCCAGCTCCTATCACATTTTCTGCTTTATAATGAGGAACTTTGTCAGTATTCGAATGCGCAGTTTAAATTTTAAAGGCCACCCACTGCACTTACATGCTATATGACAAACTGCGTAAGTATACCTGCTCCAATTTATTCTTCTTGTACTTTTAGTGAAATATGGTTTCTATGACTTTGTCCTCCCTGAAAAAAAAAAATAAAATCCACATTTTTCTTTAATAAGTTCACAACATTCAAGCTACTAATTTTCCTTACCATCATATCTCTTTTTGGACACAGAAGAAAGGATATTGAATATAAAAACAAGGGTGGTTTTTGTCCAAGTTGGAAATGAAGAAATACAAAAATACTGAGCTTTTTAGTTTTAAAGTTGTTTTTTTTTAAAAAAAAAAGATTCTCTCAGCAGGTCAGAAAAGTGATAAAATGCTTTTGTCTCCATTTCAGTGGGAGTCTGTTTTGCCTTCGGCACACTGAGCATCACGGGTGCCTCAGTGCAATCTGCTGCTGCCATTGCATCTCTTCTCGGCCCATACTGCTGCTCCTGCTTCTTACTGGGATGAATGGGACCACCTACCTGGGGTAGGCAGCCTGTTCCCCTTTCCCCATGCTGACTTCCCAAACCTCCACCTAAACATGAGGAGGAACTTCTTCACTTTGAGGGTGGCAGAGCCCCAGAACAGGCTGCCCAGAGAGGTGGTGGGGTCTCCTTCTCTGGAGACCTTCAAAACCCACCTGGACATGTTCCTGTGCAACCTGCTCTGTGTGGACCTGCTTTGGCAGTGAGGTTGGTCTAGATGATCTCCAGAGGTCCCTTCCAACCCCATGTGGTTCTGTGAACCTCTGCAGAGACCCATCGCATTACAAGTGGTACCACCTCACCCTGCAGATGCTGGACCTGTGCTTGAGTTTGGTCGTACCCTGAGCATCTTTGGTTTTTGTGGTGATTTTTGTGAGACTGCTCCAGTTTGGACATTTAACCACGAGCACTGATCATAGTGGGGAAGGTGGATTGCCATCTGTAACACCATTAACAGCAGCCAGGAAGGGCAGCACGGCTGTGCAAGGACAGGCAGAGCCTGAACGTGCTCCCATCAGGATCAGAAGCGCCCCTGAAGCCATGTGCATCATTCCATTAAATGACTTGATGAACCACTAATTTGGCCCTTCATACCCATTACATCCCAGTGCTCTTTCAACTAAAGGGACACACCTTTCGCATACATGGCCTGGGCCTCTGAATTTAAAGGCTGGGGAAAAATTTATGGGAATTATACAACTTGCTCTCAACATTACAGAAAGCAGAACCTGAAGGTTTGCCTTTCTGCTCTTCCTTGTGATTGCGGACGCAGTGTGGACACAGATCTGTGACCTGAACAGCAAAGAGGCCTGAAAAGTCACCGCCATCCAGCACGTAGCATCTCTGCTCCACGGAGAGCCTTCCGCAGCAACACCTCGACAACGTGGGAGGATGAGAGGGGAGGGCAGGAGGAGGAAGAAGGCTTTGGGTGACCTGGAACAGAGCCAGAGCCCAGCATCATGGTCCCAACCAGCTCCTGCACGAGGCACAGCATCCATTTCCAGCCCTGAAGTGCCTCCAAGCCCACACACCTTGGAGGATTTGCTACTGGCTCAGACATTCACACATTTTGCCATGCTGAGGAACAATCTTACCTTCTGTGCATCCGATCACTTGGGGTTTTTTTTCTTCCCTTTAACCTTTACTTGGAGCCAGTCTCACATCCCCCAAAATAACGGTGTTTCCATGACAACAGCCCAGCAGTGGGCTCCTCCGGGGCATCTGAAGAATCAAAACACAGCCAGTGCTTCCTCCTGCTCCAGCATCATGCCCTGTGGTACCACAGCCCCATCCTCTCTCCTCTCCCTCTGAAGAGCCCTGTCTGCTTTGGCATCCCTGGCATTTGCTGCAGAAGTCCCATTGCACAAGTGATGTATGAGCAGGTACCAGACCATGGGACCAGCTTATAGGGCAGGAGAAAGGCCAAGAGGGTCTGCAGTCCAAAGAACTGGACAGCTGTGGGATTTTGTAATTTCCCTAAGCTTTTTAAATAAGACTCCTAGTTTTCATGCTTTTTCTGGTATTTTACAGAAGACAAGAGTCACTGCTTTGCTTCCAATACACAGCGTTTCTCCTGCCCCTCTTCAGCAAAGCCCTACAACTGCTGAACCCTCTGCTCTCAACCCACTAAAGCACACACAGGGCCCCACCGAGACCAGAAACACCCCAAAAAATACCCTCTCCTCAAGCAGGGCAGGACACCAGCCCCTTGCAGGATGAGGCCCTGCTTGCTTAAGCATTTTCCTCCTGCAGGCAGCACAGCCGGTACCTTGCCCAGAGACCGGCTCCAGCTGAGCACCCAGTTGATCCATCACTCTTGAGATGCATCCAAAACCCCATCCCTTCCCTGCGGCACTTCTGTCTGCCCTCAGACCAGGATTTATGAGGGTTATCCGTGGATGTGGCTGCAAGGAAAAGTCCAAAAAAGCTTTTGTTGCTGCGCCGCAAGCCACGCTAAAACAGCAAGATGCTCTTTGCATACCTGGTCCTCGCTGGAGGGTTGGGAGCAGGAGACCTCAAGGCAGACAGCAGGCTCCGAAGCGGGACCTGAGGAGGCAGGGTGGATGCCTGCCAACCTGACAATGGGGTTTCGTTTAACGAGCACAGATTTAAGTGGGGAAATCAAATATGAAACAGTCGTAGCCAGCATTGTCTGCATTCTTGGAGTGGCACTCAGCTAGCAGAAAGAAAAGGGCTGAGACACTGGCCCAGACATGCTCCAGCTGTCTGCGACTACCTCTTCCCTCCTCCACTCAGTGTAACCATTCAGCTTGTTTTCATTTCATTATTGGATGTTATTTTTGCAACCTGGGAAAAGAATAGAAAAGGTGGTGGTTGCGGGGGGAAAAGGTCCTTAAAATGCTTCTGCGTTTATTTTTTAAGAACGAGACCATTTCTTTCCTTTTTATCAGAGACTTTTAAAAGCACAGGAGGTATTATTAGTTAAGCATTTGTTTCTCAAATAGGGTCCTTTATCTCGGAGGCAGCAGCGTTTGTGTTGCTGTGGTTATTCACGTCAGTCGGACTCATTTAGCGCCGAGCAACACGCAATTAAATGGCCGTATAAAACACCCACAGGGTGAGCAACAGCTGCCTACAGGTAACCTTAAATTTCACCCCCTCACTTGCCAAATGTTTCAGCTCTTGCCCTGTAAATCCTCCCTGGGAGCAGGGCAGGCCCTTTCCTCCATCACCCTGGGCAGGGAAACAGGAGGCTCCCCTTCAGCGGGCACAGCGCAAATCAAGCTTTTAATGAGCTGGTTAAAAGCCTGATGCTGCAGATGGCTATTAACAGGAATATTCCTCGACCCACCACAGGGTCAGCCCTTCCCCAGCTTCCCTTCCCTCCTCTCAAGAGCACCCCTTATCCATTTTTAATGTTAAAAACAATTCCCGACCCAGATCTGATAATAATGTGGTTTTCCCCTCTCTTTATGCCAGTTTTGCTTGATGGGGAGATGCCAGCGTGCACCACCCATCCCCCCCACACTAGCTGGGGGACACCCCACCCTCCAAAAAAGCCAAACACTTAAGCAAATGAAGGGCCAGGATTATATAGTGTCCCCACTGAGTGTAGTGGGATTTCTCAGTTTGTGCTGGATTCCTCTGGAAAAAAAAAAATCTTCCCTCTGTTTTAATGCTGACAAATTTCAGCACAGAAAAAAAAAATCAAGGGAAAAATTCAAGGCACTTCAAGGGAAAAAGCAGGATTCCAAGTGTTTCTCACCATTTTCTTTATCTTCCTCTTCTGAAGACAGACATACACGCCAACCCAGGAGCTCTCGCCGTATCAGCTTTTGTACAGCTCTGCTGTATTCCTGGCAGGAGAAGGTCAGATACGCTTTAATGTGAGTTGTTGTCTCTCCAAACATTGTTTTGTAATATCCCAACCAGGTCTATCATTCTAAATTTGGATGTTTAAAGCTCCAACTAAGGTTTTTGAAGTGCACATGCAATAGCTGCTCACTACATGCAGATCGTTGCTTCCTAATGAACAGCTCTAAGGATTTGTGTGGAGAAGTTTTCACCTTATTTTTAACTTATTCCCACCAGTTCAGCAAGGAGAGAGCCCTTCTACCTCCTACTCCAGCATGGTCCTCTCCTGGGCTGGCTGGACCAGAGCATGGCATTCACCTGGGATACTGGAGACATCAAACACAGCAACCTGCTCCCCAAGGAACCGACCCAATCCGGCCACCTGGGGGGCTGAGTAAGTTTTAAAGCAGAACAGAAGAAGGGAAAGAAATTTTGGAATGCTTCTTGAAATTACGTTCTTTCTATCTTATGGCATTCAAATTAGATCATTTCCTTTTTCATCCTGACTTTTTCACCTTTTAGTACTTTTGAATTTTTTTTAAGTGAAAATTAATTCTCATACTAGAGTCTAATTTCTGTTCATTAAGGATAAGAGAAGATCATTTCAAGCAATGAGTTTCTCCAAATCCAGAAAGCCTAAACATATGCTCAACACCAAGCTTCTGAGCAACTCCATTTACCTTAATATGTGTGCTTATCTCTAAGCATGTGCTTAAGTAGTTTGTTGGCAGAAGCTAGAGTGCTTATCCCTTTCCAGATGACCCTATTTAATATTTACCAGTATTAATCTGCTCAATAACTATAAACATTAGGAAAAAAACCCACCCAGAACATTGACTTAGCACTACACAGAGCTTTTCCAAATCTGATTTCTAGATTACCCAGGAGGGTCAAATTGTTTCATACTCAAGGGCTGACCCCAAAGCCATGGGAATCAGTGGAAGGGTGTTGACCAGTTACACCGGTTTGGGGACGGGATCCCCTGTGAGCAGAAACACCTTTCTGTTTTTGGCACTGTGACTAATGGGGATAACAAAGGTTCTACGCTGATGTTAAGAAAATTTGTTTTATGTATTGACATCCTGTTAACCTCTAGCTCACTTAAAGGAAGCTGTTAATTTAATGGTTGCGTCAGAAAGATAGGGCAGAGCATCTATTGCTGAGCAATGAAGGAAATCTCCAAGCCTAATGTCAGCATGAACACCTGCACAGGACAGGACAGGCTGCAGGGCTCTGTACACAGCATAAGTGTGAAGAACTTGCCCTTGACAAGGAGAAAATATTCAAATCAAAGTGGTAGTACCTGCTACACACTCCAGGTGCAAGCTTTGGCATCTGCCTCCACCATGGAAGCTCTCCTCCAGGGGCAAAGCCTCTCCAGATCCTACCTGTCCTTCCAGTTGGATTTGATGTAAAAATGGATGGATTAATCCTCACCCACCCCTTGAGTAAGAGGCTGCACACAGGGTCTTATCTCACCCTGTTTGTTAAAGCTTCTCAGCAGCCCTCAAGAACCAGAAAAGTTTATTTTGTTATTAAGTCTAAGCAGTGCCATAATTTCACTGCAATTAAATTTGTCTACAGGTGGTATCCATTTTACTGAGACACCAAACTTGCATTGTGAGTATATGCACAGGTAAAAATGGAAGGTAATGGTAAGACCTAAAATGAGATGCTTGACCTAAAAATATAGATATAAAGTCCCTGACTCAACAAAATACTTGAGCACATCCCTAGCAGCAGACACAGGCGATGCTGTTGAACTCAGCCTGACACAAGTGCTGTAACTGGCATTATGATAATCAGGATTCATTACAAGTTGGATGGGATCTGAATTACAACTGTGCTGTAAAACCATGTTTTTAATCTGTGAATGCCAGTACATCACTGGAAGTGATGAATCTATTGTCTTCCCATAGCCTGCTCAGACACTGCCTTATATTTACACCCCTGAAATGCCTGAATTTATAACAAAGTAAAATTATTATTTGGGTTCTTGCATTACTTTTAAGAAGAAAACCTTTATCTTTGTGCATCGGGCTGGCACTCACACTGGAGTCCCAACACATTGACCCACCTTCGATGCTTCTGATGTTTCTACAGGTTTGAGCACTGACCTTCCACGCACGAGACCATGGACTTGTGTCCTTGACTCCTGCCACTCACAGCATTGCTCCAAACGTCCCTCCTGTGGGTCACTCTTGACTTAGCCTCATTTTCTGTTAAACAGCCCACTACCTTTTGCTCCAAATGTCCCTCCTGACTGGGGGTCACTCTTGACTTTGCCTCATTTTCTGTTAAACAGCCCACTACCTCCCTTCACCCAGCCTTCCCATCTGTCTCCTGCACGGCCTTCATTGTCCTTTCCAGGACTCTACTCCCCAGGCTCAGGGTCAGCATAATCCTGCAATCCTTCCCCATCTGTCTCCTGCGTGGCCATCACTGTCCTTTCCCAGACTCTACTCCCCAGTCT